AGACCGGTAGGGTAGAAGTCGGCAGGTATGACCCTTTCTGAATGCCGACCACCGTCCTGTTCACCCGTCTCCTCGACAGCGGGATCTTCGTGCCTGGGATCGACAGGCGAGTCGAGCCGCGATTCGGGCTGACTGGGGTGCGCGGGAGATCGAGTATTGGCGGGCTCGGCGTCTGATTCCGCATCATCCTCGTCCGAGGACTCTTCCACGGGTCGGAGGCTCTCCTGCTTTGGCATGGACCGCAAGTGGTCATTCACCTGGATCTCGATATTGGCACCGTAGTCGTAAGCGTGAAATGCCGGCTGATTCTCGTACCAAAATGGGTCTTCAGTGTGGTCGTGAACGTACTCCTCCCAGTTCTCCATAAACACTTCCTGAAACGTGGTCCATTTATTGAATGTGATCGTCTGCACCTGCGGTCCATCCAGGATCCACGGACCTTCCACTCCTTCACCCAATAATTCGTTGAGGAGGAACAGCTGCTTGATGTAGGCGGCGAGGAATTGGGCATGCTCGGATCGTAAGGCACTCGACTTCGACGCCTCTTCCGCTTTTTGTCGCTGCGCTCGACACGAAGGAGGAAGCTCATGTATCCGGGTCCCAGCGGGGTGGAAGACGATGAACCAGGATTCGCGCGTGGCCGCAGTGGCAAGACGGAAGGTCCGATGTTGAAGGTCAAAGGCAAAACCACGGATGTGCTTGCAGCTGTAGGAGGAGCGCCAATTGCGGAAGCTGAGGGTGACGTTGTCAACAATCCGATCGCTCGCGTGGGTGACGGGCTTCATCGGTCGACCAACTATGATAATCATGTCCAGGGAGAAGATGGGATGATCTTCGCCAGTCCGTCAAGTCGGTCGACTGCCAGTTTTAGTCCTGTATGTGGCTACCCGAAGGTGGGTTTGCAACACCTTCCCTGAGTTCGTTCAGGATTCCTTCAAAGTTATGAAGAGAGCCTTCTGTCAAAACCGTCACTGGCCCAGATCCTAAGTGAGGCTGTACATCGACGTCTTCTCTGAGCATTTGTGACAAGTCGAATAATCGCTTCTCCTTCGTATTTTCAGATTGTCTTAGGTTTCGATATGCTACTAGCCTATCCACTTCGAAAGGCATTTTGTCCCTAAGAAGCCGTAATGCGTCCGCTTCATGCTGCGAAAGGTACTCGTCCCATGTCAAGTCGTGATTTCATGCATGGCCAATAGGAGCAAGTGCTCTGAGGGGATGCTTTACATACAAGGATAACAGCCTATAATGAACAAGGGATACTTCATTGGTCTGATATTCTCCCTTCTTTTAAGATGAATCAGGTGCTCTCGAGGTTTTGGCTGAAGTGGAACGACTCGGGCAGGAGGCGGAAGCTAGAGAATATACCTTCTGGAATGGCGACGAGGACTTCGAGAGCTTAAGAGATGCTAGGACAGGGGCCACGCACTCGAGAAATAGCAGGGGGTAAAGCAGCATGCCTCTAAAGGCAGATTGCCGCCAACACGAGCGTCAAAAAGTTTCGATACTCCTTCCGATTTCTAACACCATTCAATGCACGTCACTGAGGTGCATCTAATGATATAACTATGTCTTTCCTCTAAATCTCCAGAGTTGTATGAATGTACTGTATTTTTTATTTTATTTATTTATTTTCATACTTCCAGGCGGGCTAATCCCATTGGGGTCTAGCTGGTTCTACATGGCTACCTGCATTTTTCCCGGTTCATGTTATTGTATGACTGTACAGTTGGGGTCCTTGAGGACAGTGGCCTCACCAATCATGTGGCTGTATGAGGTTATTTTGGCGGATTGACTGCGCTGCGCCATCCTTATCACGTGGCGTAGAAATCCTTGGCGGTGGGTGCTGTCGGCCTGCAATTTATTCAGACTTTTCTTCCATTCTACCGGTTTCCGCAAGTCCACTCCAAAGGAAATCTTTGTCTTTCTCGTGACTATGAAGTTCGCTATTCGCGGACCGTTTGGGATTAATGGCTGTTTTTTCGGGGGCCACTTACAGCCCTCTCAAGATGCCGATGTCGACCTACGAGTTGAAGTATCGGCGGAGAGCACTGTCCAATCTCGATCGAGTTTTGTCTTTGACGAGAGCTCGGTCGAATATGCTCAAGGTTTTTGCCGATGGCTGAGCTACCGCTGCCGCTGTGTCAAGGAAAGTTGGCGAGCTACGAAATTCACCTTTGAAATCCTCAAGGAGAGCGAGACTGCGCGCCGCGTGGCAAAGTCCCTCCTAGACGGAACGACCTTTCGCCCAGAAACACCGCTCTATTACCCGGACGAGTTAGGTGTTAAACTGAATCAACAAGGGACGTCCAGCCCTTCCCCAGACATTCTACAGTTTGTCCGGTCGCTCAAACGCTGGGGAATTAAAGAATACAGAAAGAATAACATGGGGAAGAGCAAGGACCTACTACTATCGTGCTTGCAAGCCTTATCTGAATGTGACGAATTATTGGAGCAGTGGGATTCCGACCATGATATCCGTACAGCTGAATGGCGCCGCCTATCATATGATGCATGCTCAGCTCTCACACAGATCCATCTCGTCCAAAAAACAGAAGGCACAGTGAAGGAGTGGATACCTTTCGAGGCAATGATGCTGTGGTTATTCAGCGAGGATATCATTGTCCAGTCAAAAGTGCGATTTCTTCGTCTCTGCGCCCTATCCTTCCGAGACGACGACAACCAAGCATTCTTTTTCCTGCTCCTGGCCCGCTGCCTTGATCCAACTGATCAGCAAACACTTGATATGCTTCGCAAGCGTCATCCGACGTCTTGGGCATACCATCTCGCCACGCAGTATCTCGAGTCTTTTCAGAAAAAACGAACAACGATAGACCGAGTTCTTCAAACGTTGGAAAATGTCGATACCCAGGATCTCGAACCCAAATTCGACGAGGAATGTCCCATTTGCTTATGCAAAATCAAACCTGTTGGTAACAGGCCGAGGCAAATCCGACAGGTGAAAAAGAGCTCTTGCAATCATTATTTCCATGAGATCTGCATCCGAACGCATGTGTCTTACCGAACTACCTGCCCAGTCTGCAGGCGTGAATGGGGTCACGACTAGAGCTAGCTCTATTCCGGTCTGGAATGACGGTCATTCCACACATTACTATGGGGGAAAAAACGGCCTACTGAGCGTATTCTCATGTGTAGCGCCAGAGTTCTTGCGGGCAATGGGCCCACTTCGGACGTGTGGCGCGCCGTAGCGCCGAACGCGAGCTCGCAGCATACGCGAGTCTTGCAGCACAAGACCCGTTGGAGAGGTGTGAGTATCGTGTGTTTGGCTCGGCCATGGCTGCCGAGAAGCGAATAACTCCATTGGACCAATGGGGCCTCAAAGTCGTCTGCCCAGACCAAGCGTTGATATGCTGCCACTGCCAGAATGCCTCGAGAATCGGTGCCGATTACGTGTTGCAGCATATCGCAAGTCATCAGAGCGTGGAATCAATCAGCCGTGATCGTCTAGAACGCCATCTCAAGACCTTTGAGCTGAACGACGTAGCACAGCTAAATCCCCGTAAAGACGGATCGCCCTGTGATCCGTCTTTAAGGATTTAGCCTGGCTACGCGTGTCGACGCTGTCCCGTCTCCGGTCGATTTCCAACTTCAAGCGCGCAAACCCTCTTTCGGCACTTGTCGTCTCAGCATGGCATTTCAAAACGTCGAGCCCGAGCCATGCGCGACTATGATATAGTGTCTCTCCAATGCTGGGCCAGTGGTGGCGTATATCGTGGTCAGTGGTGGATTGTTCACTCCAGGGTATCTTACAGTACCAGTCTTGAGTTAACTCCACCTCGCCCTCGCAAAATTCGCCGAACTGCGATGCTTCCATCCCAGGAGCTCTCTGAGGGACCCATGTTACCGAACCTCCTACTTCAGATCCATGCGCAAGAACGGACGCGTTTACAAAAGGTCAATGCTACCCCCATGTCCTTGGAAACGGCTGGACAGGAACTATCACTCATTCGACCGTGGCATGAACGAACCCGGTGGTACGAGACATACCGCGATCGTCCGCGTGATGTTCTCTATCGGTTAGCTCTATTGCCGGAACGTGGTGGTCGGTTATTCGGAAAGCACTTCGGGACCGTGGGTGGCCAGGAGATCTGGAGTTCCGCGGAAGACGAGGAAAGGATCCACCGCATACTACAGCACGTTGATATTGCTTTTGATCGTTGCGAGGAGACTGTGCGACGCACTGGCCACCCAATTTTATCCTGGCTTCGAAGTCGATTCCCTTCCCGGCCCTTCAAAGCTCCTTCCAGCTCGTCGGACGGGACGAAACTCGCCGTAAGTATCGACGGCGTTGCAGACAAGTCTTGGGTGTAGGACTCCGGAGCGTCCGGTTCCAGCCATCGGTTCTTTGCGCATTAGGCGTTCCGTTCACCACAGCCCAGATGGCCTTCGACGTGTTGAGGGCCTCGGTTTTCGGCGAAGGTGGAAGAATCTAGCCGTGCATGGTTTCTCGACAAGATTGACTGGATCACTCTGACCTTTCGGCAGCCTCATGCGGCTTACGTGGTGTTCAACAACCCATCGATGCAGGCGGCATGCTCGACACCGCCGAGTGGCCGATGTCCGACTCGACTTCATACGGACTGACTCTACAAGCACACGGCTATGGGTGGCTCGCGGATATAAGAAGATAAGGGATTAATTAAGAATTAGTAAATTAAGATAAGCTAAAAATAAAGAAATTCCAAGGGGTAGGTCTAACCTTAGGCGTAGGGAGATATATAGAGTCTGCTCCCACGTCACCAAGTCTCGTCGGCATCGCGCGCGAGTCATCTCAAATAGAGTGGCGAATTTGTCCGCGTTACGCCAGAGGAAGTTCAGGTACACCTCCGTTTTGATCGCCCAAGCGTACGAGGGACAATCGGCGTGCGTGACCTCGAGCTGGTCGCGCGGTTCGAGACGCAGGCGAGCCATGAGAGCTTGAAATAAGGCCCATGAAATGCGAAACTCGGCGCGAATGCTGAAGGATTTCAGCCGTGCGTCCCGGAGATCATCACATGTCCGACATTTGGCCGTGCAATAGCTCCGTTCGATGGTCTTCGCCTCTCGTCGACGACCTCCGGCGAGGTGTCGGGCAGCCTGCCGAATTTGGTCGTCTAACGCCATCTCTTCCAGCCCATCGTTGCTAAACGGTGGACGTTTGGCTCGATCCCAGACTTCCTTGACGGAGCCGTAGAGCTGGATGTACCGGACGTCTCCGTGATAGAGTCGAGATCCTTTAGGGGGCACACTGGTGACGCTAGAGGCTTCATACAGCATATTCTGGTCATAGAACCGCTGCCCTTTCCCGTTTTTTGCAGGAGGCTTATCGTCGTAGAGCCGACGGATGATTTGTTCCAGGCAGCAACGTTTCCAGGCATAGACCTGAGCTTCTTCGTCGACGTGCGTCCGATGGGTAGGAACGTGGCTGACAGAGGGACAGATCTCGGTTCCCACGTCGATATAGGTCCGCTCGAGGTCGACAAATTCCAGGTCAAAGACATTCTCGAAATGACGCTCAAAGCGTTCCATAGAATCTAACTGGGTCGGTCGAGAACGACTAGTCATGAATTTCAACTTTCTTCCTTTGCTCGAAAAAAATAGTTGGGGCTCTCGAAAGTCCGCGAGACCCGGTGTTGTCTCGATCCTGTGGAGGATGTCCGTCCAAATCGAGCCTAGGTATTCGGGCTGAAGATGGTAGCCAAGTGATTGCTGGGCTTGATAACTAGCCGTCTCCACGAGGCGTGCTTCGACCTGACGAGCTTTGGAATCCGCGTACGCGTTCCGAAAGCTGGCCGGGAGATGTTGCGTATATCCAGCTTCGCAATACGGATAGAGGATCGGGTAGAAGATTTGATCTAGCCAGCGTGATAGTTGCTCCTGCGTGAGGGAAACGAACTTCTCTTGCGGGCGGGGAAGGTGAGGGAACAGGATGTGAATGGTGATGTCGTGGTCGTTGGCGACTCGACCGAAGAGTATATGCGGAACATCTCGAAGCATAGCTAAAGTCGCACGAGGTGCTTGCTCCGGATCTTCGCCCTGGACGAACATGGGGGTTTCCAGGTGGACATCGGTCGTGATGTTCTGTCGTGCTTGAGGGGCGGGCTGGTGCCATAGGCCTTCTCGACAGGCGGCCAGTGAATGCAGAAATCCCAGAAAGCTGTCAACGTCGAACCCTTGTCGAGGAGGCTGGGCGCGAGTTTCTTCTAGGTGTAAACAAACATAGGGGGGACGGGGCTGCTGGGGAGAAATGCCACAAAACATAGACTGTAACTGCGCAGGAGTGGGAGGCACATGGCGGGCCAGTCGATCAGGAGTCAGCAAATCAGGCGATGTCAGTACGGAAGGGGTGTCAGGATCATTGAAAATGTCATCCAAGCCGTGGTGGTCGTCATCGGCCACGCTGGCCATGCGCTGCCGCCGCCGTTCATCATGTTGCTCCTCCGTGCAGCCGCCCACGTCGCCTTGGAAAAATGCAAAGAGCTTTTCAGCCGCGTACTGCAGATCAGAAATGGGAGGTTCACTTTCTTCGTCGCTGGAATGTGCAGAACGCTCAGATGCAAAATCCTAGACGGAATCTTCTTCTTCATTATCGGTGTACCGACCTATGAAATTGATTTCGTTGTCATCACTAGACTCTGCGCCATGGTTATCATCATCCTTGGGTGTTTCATCACCTCTTACTTCGGCATCTTCACGGTAGTCGCCCAGACTGTACTGCTCAGTGGCATCTCCGTCGTCTGCGTCATCCTCAAGATCATTGTCTGCGAATCTTAAATCTTCACTGCCTCTACGCTGTGTCCATTTATTCTCGACAAGCGTAGGAGAAATAGGGCTAAAAGAAGGGCGGATGGGGGACGGTTGAATAGTACGCGTTATAGGTGTCGATAGTCGATTGAGAGGAGACCGCGTCGAAGAAAATCGAGGAACTCGTGATCGACCCGACGGACTGCTTACTGGTCGGGGGGAGGCTCTGTCCATAGTAGCGTAGCGAAGGGTAGGACTCGGACGCCGTAGATCGTTCCTAGCTGCGATCAACTCATTATCATCATATAATGTAGCATGCTCGTCGACGGGGGTGGCTCCCTCGCGGAGTTGCGCATCCGGAAAGTCTTGAGCAAGAGTCAACGCTTGGACACGAAGATTCATTGCTGCAAGTGTTTGCGCAGCTTCCAACTCCGCAGGACCTTGCCCCATGATCGTAAAGTCGACCATCCTTTCATATGGCTGGAGGTTTTCCTGGGTGGGTGACTGCGCCCGTCGATGTTCGTTGTAGTGTTTCCGTGCCCGTCGAGCACCTGCTTCACGTTTCTGTCTTTTCCGCTCATCTCCGTCCTCCTTAGGGGGTCTTCCACGCTTCTCAGGCATTATGATTCGAGATTCTAGGCAGGAAATAAAGCTATAGGCTGCGACGACGTGGGCAAGAACGTTGTGTAATGTTGATCCGACTAATTCGGCAGGAATTCTAACGCGCCCAGCCAGGCTTTACCCTTTTTGTCGAGGGATTCTAACGCTCTTGGCATGCCTCGTTAACCCAGCCCTGGAGCCCTATTTTCAACCTTGGATTGTGAGGTCAAGATATAAGATACGGGAATGAGAGTAGTATCATTCGTCTCGCCTTTGGAAGTTCTATCCATTGCACTACATTTCGGAAGAAGAAGTTTCAAAATCGAGTCTAACCCCAAGGGGGGAAACCGGGTATGGAATGCTGGCTAGCTGCAGGGACATCATTGGGGACGATGACAATTACTATTCTGACTGAGCTTCGTGAACCGGTTGCTAAAAGCTAGATACTGTAGCTCTCGCCCGCTCATTCGTCATTCCGCTCTCGCTTCAGGTCGACTATATTCAGCCCGTCACGAGCGGCCAGTACCAGCAAGGAAGCCCCGATTCAAGGTGCCAGATCCTGGGTATTTCGCTGAAACTTGCTCAGCTCTCTATAATACCAATCCTCTCGTCCGTTCGGACTCCAGACCGTCAATCCTGTCTTTTTCTGCAAATACGCGGGCCACTCCTTCGCGAAATATCCGTCAATTTCCAGCTTCTGCAGGCCTCGGATCTCTGCCAATGCCCGAACAACCTCGACATCAGTCCCTCCTCCAAAATGCCAACACGTTGGCTCTGAATCCCAGAAGATGTAGATTTGTCGTAGCCCGGCACCATCGGTAGCCAGCCTACGGAAAAGCTTGCACCACGGTGGACCGGATGGTGGCCTGTAGAAAATATGGCCAGGTGGAAAAATTCCCTTCTCATACACTGCATGGACAAAAATTCGAAGCTTGGCCAGGTGTTTAATGTTGCCTTTACCGATTTTCTCGAGCCACTCTAACCCAAAGGTCGGATCGCTGATCGTGAACACATTCTCGGTGTAAAAGGCTGGCGAGACTTGACGCTGGATGGATTCGGGCTCGAAAATTTGGATATTTCGTTCGGCCATGATATGCTTCCCTTGCAGTACAGTAGACAGATTCAGGAACAACTGTAGCATAAGAGATCACTGCACTAATGCTCAAATGCTTGAGTACCTCTAAGAACGAAAAGGATACCCTGATCGTTAAACACTCCATCGCATCGAGGAAACAGGCTTCCGAGGGTAAGCGCGCACCCGCAGAGGACACGTGTCCTTAGCGTCGGCTGCACCCGCAGCCAATGACCACAATGAATCGAACTCCGAGCAACGCGCGACCATCACCGTGTCGCCAGAAAAGCTCGCCCGAGCACCTCGAAGCAGCCGTCCACCGGCACCGACCTCCAAAGTCCGCGAAAACCAGGCATTGCGCCGCACGCGCCGAACGACTCGAGCGGAGAAGTCTCCACCGTTACATTTTCGGGATGTCGAAGACAGCGACGACGATTATGAGGAGGAGGACGGAGACACCGCAGCCAGCCTTGAGGAGCTGGTTACGCTGGTCAAGGAGCTCAAGAAAACCATTGACCAACAAAACGACGCGCTCCTGGAGGTCCAAACCGAGTTGAAGGAGTTAAAGGAAGAACAGCAATATGTGAAAGAACAGAACAATGAGCTCAAGGATGAAATCGGTATGCTCCGGAACCAACTCGGTAGTCTGTCCGCATCTTTGCCCTCAACACAGTCATGGGCGTCTGTCGTGGCAAGCCGGAACGGGTCAGGTTCACCGCTTGGGACGTCTGACCGAATGATGGCGAGCGTCAACCATCTCGTGAGCCACCCTCGTAGCCACTGGGCCGCAACAGATACGCTATGCTGCACGATCGACGCCTCCCGTGTTCCAGAACAGGATATGGACAAGACCTCCCCGCGTGCCATCAGGGCGACGGTGGAGAAAGAGATCCGAGCTGGTGAGGGATGAAACAACTGGCGCTGTCGGGCAGTGACCAGAGATGCGAAGAATGCAAGCCGTGTCAGGATTGCGTGTAGAGACGAGACCGAACTACACATGGTCAAACAGGTGGCAGAAACGAAGATCGCACCCGGCATCAGAATCCTCCGGGACGAGCTCTATCCCGTCAAGGTGGACAATGTCAACCGGCTGGCCATTCTGGATGCGAATGGAGGTGTTCAGGCCGGGGGGAAGATCCTGAGCTTCACGAGTCTGGTCACCTCCCTTTTTTCTGGTCGGAATTTCACCCGCGACCCCGTCTTCATCGACGTCGAGGTTGAACGAGAAAATACACTCAAGTACGTGACTGCTGCGCTCTTCGTTGTCACCATTCCCAATTCAATCGGCGGCTCCATCGAAATTTTTCCAGAATCCCGGAGCAACGTTCCACCCAAACCCCGGCTCCCAAAAATTCGCGCGATGAATTCCGACGGGTTGTCCATTAGTAATTTCGAAGACTTAGGAGCTCTTTCTTCGACCGGAGCTGCAATTCACTATTTCGCGGATTGTCTCGATATCTCTGACCAATGACCTATCCAAGCTTCAATAGAACTCGGTTGTTAACCCCCTTGTGCTTTAAAACTTGTGAGTTTATCTCGCAATACGCCTCAAGATTTTCAGAACTACCAATTTTCTTCACCATGTCAGATACCCGAAGCATCATCCCATCGTCACGATCCCCCCAGGGAAAGTGGGAAGGATAGAGGGCACAGCATGCGGGTACTGAGAGTCACAAGAAGTCGGGGATCTTTCCGTGGGTCCTCTCGGATAGGGTCCTCTTGGTTAGGGTGTCATATTGGTTACGAGGATAGGATAGGATAGGAATGCTCTATCGATTGCACTAGAATTTTGAACTTTTTTCCTCGAGGTTTTCCCCCAGTAATGTTTGTGAATACAAATACGCTTCGACCTATTCATTTCGGCGTACCACGTCGCTTCGGGCTCGGTTTGAGTGTAGTATCTCGTCTAGGCGCTTCAACCGCACCGGGGATGCTAGATATAGTATCTGAGACCTCTACACCAGAGGGATCTGGGCCCGGCGAACCTAAAAGCTCTGTATCTGCGGTGCTTGGGGTTGGTGATGGACTAGGCTCGGCATGACTCTTCAAAAAAGTGGCAGGTTCGCTTCCTATACGTCTGGTTTGCGCGTCATCACCAGTCTCTACCAATGCAGACAAGCCTCGCTTCCTGGAGCCAGTGTCTGCCCGGATGTTTTCCTCCAGCCATTTGACGCTTCGAGGAGCAGGCCACCTGTCATTGGGTTTCTCGCATAGCAAACCTCTCACCAAGGGCCCGAAACTCTCTGACAAACGTTTCTCAAGCGGTCGGATCTTTTCTCGAATCCATTTTTGGTGTTCGGGTTTGTTCGGCGGGGAACGTGAATCCCATCCCTCTAACCGGCCACTTGCAGGCGCAAGCAGTTCGAGCAAAATAATCCCAAAAGACCACATATCGACAGCATTGGTGTAATGAAGCATCGGTTCCCAGAACTCAGGGGCCATGTAGAGGCTTGTCCCGGTATAGGTCTGCATTCCTCCAGATATGTCATACTTCGTCGCTCCCAAGTCGGCGATCTTGGCTATTTTGAGCCTTGCACCTTCTAGACGGACCAGAATATTCGCCGGTTTTAAGTCACGATGTGTGTAGCTCTGGCTGTGCATGAATGCTAGCCCCTTGCCCACATGAGTCGCGAGGATGGGACCGTCGCGATCGTCGAGGCGGACGGAGGCAAGATCCTTCTCGATCCACTCCATGATTAGCCAAGGTGAATCGTTCGGTTGCATGCCTGTGAGGACTTCCACGGCTTGTACTATATTTGGCTAGAATACCATCAGCAGCAAACAGAGACATAGGTAAGCGAAATCTCTTACATGCCGGAGGTCAATGATTTTCCTGAACTCTTTCGTTAACGACTCCAAACGAGAACGAGCTGTGCCCGATGAATCAGAAGCTTTGAAGTGTGGCACCTTCGCAGCAAAGATCTGTTTCGAGTGCAGTTCTTTCACCTTCATGACAGTCGCAAAGCTACCGGTACCCACATTCGGCTCTTCTCGTCTATATACAGTGTTATTCTCACCTAACCTGAGATCGAATGTCAAAGCGTCGGAGGTATCGAGGCTGATGGGAAACTTTGTGAGGCTCTTCAAGAATGCCTGGTCGAAAGCCTCAGCATTCCTGCGATACCTTAGCGCTTCCTGGTGTGATAGGGTTGGCCGCCATGCTCTCAGTGTGACCTGTCCAAGATCGATAGTAGCGGCAGATATGATCTCAAAGGTTTCCCCTTGCTGGAGAGTCACTGTACGCTCATCAACATGGATTTGAACGGGATTCTTCGACAATATTGTAAGCCTGGGGCAGTGGGTATCTGGACTGACGTCGGTTCGAAAGTGCTCGCGACTCACACCGGTTTCGTGGTTCTTGGCCAGCTGCACATCGCACTTTTTAGTATCGCCCAGTGATCCGCATACCCAGCCCAGTGGAGATGACATGGCCTTCCCAAATATGAAGGCAAGAAAGGGTCCGTTGAGTCGTTCAGATTGCTCGCCCCTCCACTTTTCTAGGCTATCGGCACCGCCTTGTGGTGGGTGGAACTGAAAATATACATTGTTGGAGAGCTCAAGAATGTTGTCGGTACCCTCAATGTTTCCAAAAAGTAGGACGATACCGGCAAGATCCTGAGTTACGGTGGTCGTCATATTGTCTCAAGAGGCCGATAGGTGATGTACTTGCGTAGTCCGAATGTCCCGTGATTCGCAGAGAGAGGTTTCTGTAAGTGCGAGCTAGTATACGCATTACAAAACCCGGGATGGGGAACTTATACCTTCCGAATGTAATGATATATATTGTGAACTAGCCCGAATCCAACAAAGGGGAAGCGCCGAGATGAAACGCATGGACATGTCACCCGAGGTGGCGCGAGAGTCGAGGGATTGGATGCGGTGGGATGATAGAATCAGGGGTGGGGGCGGGGTTTCACGATCCCGTTTTAGCGCTTGCCCCTTCCTGAGCGTTTTCCAACTCGAGACGCAGTTCTGCTGCGCAACCCCGACCACCTGTCATCTGCCGCTTTATTTCCCCCTAATTGTTTGCAGATTCGTTGTGACCGCCGCGCTGGTCGTGGTTTTCGCTGTAGGTCCATATCATACACCTCGCTCTGGGCTGGGCTAGGGAGTCCCTGAACGCACGCGTTCTGTTCCAAATACTTTTCTTGCCTTTCTCTCTCGCGACGAGCGGAGACTTGTCGCAGAAGTTCTGCCTCAGGTTTCCAGTGTCTCTCATCCGTGATCAAGAGTCTGAAATCTCTCAATTGTTTTGTTGTGCATCCTTGCCTCTTCAAGCGGCGCTTGTATGCCGTTGCGACATTCCGCCAACCATCCGCCTTTGCTACCCCTTGTACGCCTTCCACGTCTTCCACCTCATATTTCTTGAGGCAATCCCTCCATATCAGCTCACATAGCTCGTTGCTGTATCTTCTAGCCTCACACTGCCAATAAATAGCATCAGGGAGCGTTATTCGAAGAGCGTCAAGTTCCTCTGGGCTGTATCGCCGTTGTTCTATGTCCCAGAGTAAACGGAACGGTTGGTGATCGTTTTCAGTGCGAAAAATAGGTTCAGGTGTCTCTTCTAGGTCCTCCAGCATTTTGACGAGGTCTCCGTGTGCAAGAGAGGGTACGATGGGGGATTCGGACAAGTTGGGTGAATTCATCGTCCGCTGAAACCATGTCGCAGTGCATCGAAATTAAATGCGCATGGGATTAGATGTGTCGGTCGATTATGTGGTGATGGTCCAAAGGGTGATTACAAAGGGAGGTTTTGGTTGCGAAAACTGCGTGGGGAGAAAACTTCGTCACATGTCCCGAGACGATCACGTGAACGACGCGGGGCCGTTGAGATAACAAGTTTTCTGTCTTGATCACAATGTAGTCGAGACCACAGCCTCCTCGGCGTGATTTTGTCGGATATTATCCCAAAATATTGTCATTGCCGTCAACTCATTCTTAAGGCATTCTTTAAACTGCGCCTTGTTTAACCGTCTTGGCCGCTTGACCTAAGCTCCTACGGATAAAGAAAATCATCACGACATGAGTGCGGAGGACAACTTGCTGCAGAGCTCGAGATCCTTCCCTCAGTGCCGCCTACTACAATTCACGCTCCATGGATTGTGAGATCCCTCCCCTTTTCCCGCCTGGTCGGTCTGTTCTCCGTTTGAGCATAACGTCGACTCCCTATTACACCGCAACCAACCGCCACGGGTCTACCACTTACATCGGGCTGCGCGAACGAGAACTAGAGAAGAATGAATGTCAGACGCAGGGGGAAACGAGAAGAGCCTTTATAGCCAGCACAAGATACACCCATAGAGACATCTTACCTAATAACGTCGCGGCAACTGCGGCACAAGCTTCGATATTTCTATCATGACAATATCCATCGCAGCGCCGCGCCCGATGACCAGACTAGCCTAGCAAATCAGCGTGAATGCATTAGTGGACATGGGAGCCAGTACCGCAAACATGGCCTTTCACCCGCTCAAGGTCAGAAACCTCGAGCCACCGCTCCGGTTGAAATGAGTTACAATCCTCTAGAAAGCCACCAGAGGAGAACATTTTTGAGACCGGCGGACACAACATTGTAGATCGAGGAACGTCTCACTCGCTCACTTGTCAGCTGCCGAGCTGATTGCAGCCCCACTGACCTTTGAAGAACGCTCTGATACCTAGATTCCTGGTCGTGGAAGACCTGATAACGGCCTGGAGATCACTAACGGACTGGGAAGAAGAGGCCCGTACTGAAGACCACTGTACCGGCCAATGTTGGCAGCGAAGGCGTCTCACTTCACGGCTGACCATGCAAACTGCAGGGTCATTCGAGCCCACTACACTATCGAACAACAAAATGACAGGTCCATTCTTCACCATCTACTGCCCATCCGGGGCATTTGTCTTCATCACCGTTATCTGATGGGCGAAGTCGGGAGAAGCCTAGGGGTCCCGGTCTTCAGATGCTACCCTCTGAGCAGGCTCTCATGATTCTCGAGTACCTCGCTCCCCCGGTTTCCGAGAAGGACAATGTTTCTGCTTATCGGATCAGGTATGAGACTTAGCGCTATCATGCCGGAGATGGTACCAGATCGTTGTGGACAAACTAGCGGAGAGGTTGGTCCTCTTCACCTGCGACAATGCCATCCACGGTTCCCACAAACTTCGCCGTGTGACCGGGGACCCCCAAAAGTCCTCGCAGGTTCGGGAACTAGTCGTGCGTGACTGTTCCCGCCATCTGACAAGGAACGGCTAGCAAAAATTGTCCCGTTTGAAGACGAGCTGATCCCCTAAAAACCCCAATAACCGATGGACAAGATTATAAGCAAGCACCCCCACGTCTACGTGATCCTACTCCGTCCGGCAGCCTCCAACCCTCGAGAACACGCTCATGGAGCCGTCGAAAAACCGATTCACGCGGAAAACTACTCCCTCCCCCTACACCTACTGAGACTGAATCAATTACTGCGACGCCACAGCAACGCGAGAGCCCTCAAGATGCTTCCGAAGATCACGGCACGCGCGCCACCAGCAACTCTCTGACGGATAAAGATTTGATCGAAGAGGTGTTGAAAATGGTGGAAAATCCAAAAATGGCACAAGTTATGATTCTTGAGTTGATGTACAAGCATCAGTTCAACTATTCCCTCTTGAAAGAGCTTTTGAGAGGTAAGTTCCTCACCACCAAGTCACGGCCGGGAACCTCGACTGATGAACCGCCAGAAAAAAACCTGGACGTCAGCTTCTCAAGAGTCACATACGGTGAAGTCGCTCCTAAGCTGGGCTCGCTGCCGACTCTACAGGGGGAAGATATACCCACCTTTGAGATGTTTCGAGCCCGTTTGCCCAACTCGCTTTTCGAGGAAATCCTGGACGATGTTGGAATTTATCAATTGCAATACGGATCCCCAAGTCGACACCCCAATGAGGAAGCTCGGGCGCGGTTTCTCTCGGGCTATTTCAACCGAATCGTCGCAGAGTTTTCTGGACTTATGTTCAATACCCCGGAGGCAATGTTAGAGGGTACAATCGCAACAAAGGGCCACATTGAATATCAATTTAAGACGTATCGAGGAGTCACGGTGGTGTTCATCGAGGTGAAATTGAATGTCGGCAACCTGACGGAACGTCTTAATTGCTATGCACAGGTGATAGCAGAGTGTGACGGTAAGTTGTACTCGGCTATTAATTCTAGATCGGGACTTCGTTAATGGATATACAGCTTGCGCCTGGATGAACTCCCAGAATGGATTCTACGTGCCCATTATGGCTGTGTTGTGCGATGGACAATATTTTTATTTCTTTAAGTTTGAGGATCGACAAGAGACAGGTCGTCGAGTTTCGCGGTTCTTCTTGGGCGAGTTTCCAGACGGTCACCGGCGACAATCGATCCCTGAGCTAGACCATGGCGACGACGCTGTGGTCTACTTACACCAAACTCGCCTTCTTTGCGAGAGTCTTTATTACGTGTTTTTGAGCGGATACCACGAAGGCCTCAAGGGGTACTGGAATCAGAGTGTGGAACGAAGGAAGAGCGCACTACGTGAATCAACTCCGAAGTGGCACAACGCGACCGTTTTGGCCGGCAAAGCTCTCAAGGAAGCCACGCTTGCTTGGTACCTTCGACGTGACGATCAACTGGAGAAGTCGAAGGCGTCTGCAGACAAAGCGCGTGAATACTTGGTCCAGAGGTACCTACAACCACCCCCCTCTGTTATGGCGAAAGCAGTCTAACTATTTACAGCGTTGACGAAGTCCCGTGGAAGCGATCTCGGTTTGTGGCGCCGGAAGAGGCTCTAGACAATTTATAATTATCTTGGAGAAGCGGGCTAGTTAGTCTTATTTGCTATCCCACAAGTGGAAGCGAAAGTGGGTTCTTCGCTCAAAAGGTGATCGGACACCGTGGGTGTCGGAGCTGGCGCAGATGGGCCGTTGCTATGGCCCGACGGTGGAGGGCAACGAAGATGGAGACAGGCAGGCAGAGGAGACAAGCAGATTTCCTTTTCGTCGCCAAAATAGGGTATTGACCTTTGAGAGTCCTCGTTCTGTCCCGGTTATTCTCGATGTTTGAGAGCCTTGAATAGTTAGCGCGGAAGGCCTGGTCTATGCCCTCGATGGTTGGCGGCGGCGTGGGGGAGTACTCCTAGGAAGCGAGGCGAAGCCCCTTTGTCGGGGGTGGGAACTCGGTTCTGGCCAGTCGGCACCAATTACTTGATCCCCCTCCTGTCGGACGTGAGCAGCCCGCTATCTAATTAGCCTGATACTATGAAAGCCCTCTGCACACCTCTATACTGAAAAAAATACAACTACTTCAAGTTATAATAGAAAATACTGACTTCGTACCTCACACCCGTACCATTTCTCCTCCAGTTCTTCTCTGTGGGCCTCCACTGCGCCAATTATCCTCACGCCCGCCTTCCCACTCTCTTCTTCGCTGATGGTCAGACACGTGCGAGCGGTTCACTGGTGGAGCCGTCACCGCTCCTTACCCGTGCACCGAGCACCTGTTCACCCATCACCAAACACCCTTTACTCCACACATTTCCTGTAGATCTACTCCCTTATGCGCGGAGCACACCTGCACCCCGCTCACCGTGGCGACGGCTCTCTTCGGTTCCTTTTCCGGGGTTTGACGCGGTGTTCTCGCATCCAGGGTTTTCCCTCTTGTGAAGGCATTCGTTGCGCCCGCAAAAGCTGTAATCGTTGCGTCGCCGAGGGACAGGCAATAATGCTGTTGAGCAGTGGAGAAATATCACGAACATCCTTTCTCTAAAGCCACTCCTCAGGAAATGGACAGGGGAACATCGGGTAGGTGAATTAGGTGACACCCGCAAGGCTGGCAGGGTACAAGGCTATCAGAGACGAGGCTGAAATCGCAAGGCTCTCGGGAGACTAAAAACCTAGCGCTTACCCCACGTGACGTCACCGAATACCAATTTCTAGGGACCAGTGTCAGGCGAAGCGTCTCCATGGTCTTGCCCGTCCTCCAAATCTTCCATCTCGCAATGTCGACCATCGAGGCCCAACGCGTACATCGAGACGAACTCGTATTTGCCATGTTTACACATGCCATTGAGGGCTGCAGACCTGGTGACAATAAATGGATGCTAGTTAAGGATATAATCAGCATGGGAAATAGCATGGGGCTGGGGCCGGCGTAAGTCTATCCTTTATGAATAGACCGGAAGGCAATTAACTGATATCTTTGCAGTGTGATGACTTTCGATGTCATGCTAAGAAATAATGGCCTCGAAATCAGCGATCAATGCAGGTTGGAAGTGAGAGACGAATCTCTGTTGCAGACTGAAACGAAAGATGATCTCCCGACTGGCTACCCGAGTGGTGAAGTTCTCCTAAAGATTTATTGTTTATTGGCGCATTTCAAGCCAGATTTCGCGAAGGCGGCAGAACGAACTGGACGATCTGCAGAGGGGGTGTAAGTGTCACTCTTCTCTAACTGTATCTCCGCTAATGAAGAAACCCCAGTCGGGAACAATACGAAAGTATAATCGGTCGGCTGGGAAACGACATCGATGAAGGGGCATTGGAGTCGTACGATGACAACCGTGAAAGAAATCCCATGGCATAATGTACAGAATGATCGTCTTGAGGGAGGCAGAAGGGCCCTCTCTTTGGGTGTAAGAAAAGAAGGATCCGGGAATTCAACAACCGCAAGTCTCGCTTCGACATTACTGTACCTTGGCCGGTACACTGTGGAATTGCTCAATTTCGCGCCCACGCCCTGAAGCCCTCAAAAGTCTACTCGTATTCCTTGCTGGCCCTCTGGAGAAAATGAGTGGCACAGCAATCAGGAAATCTACCGTCGCCCTCGGGAAAATCCTGTCCAGACTCAGGAAGGAAATGGTGGAACCTTGTCTTTAAACTCCGACAGGGTAGTTCGTGTTGAAGATCCCGGTGGCTGAAACGGTGTGACAAGGATTAGGAGCTTGTGTATCTAAGATAGTCATCCCGCTTCCACAGGAAGAAAAAGGATAATCTTTACAACCAGCAATACTATCACTTGCTTCAACATATTCATATTCGTATTTATTCGTGAATATTCACATTATTCGTATTCATTTCGGAGCCCTACCTACTCCCCCCCCGTTTTCCCCCCTAAGTATCAAAGTTTAAATTTCGGTGCTCTTGCGCCTAGTTTGGAGTCGTCCCCTGAGGGACGCCTACCCCACCCCCCTCGAAACCGGTTTTCGGGCATAGTATTATATGAATCCCCCTTTTAACCCTCTCCCTAGCTGATAACCCCTTCCGGAACACCTATATCCCCTTCCGTTATAAACTCGACATAGAACCCATCTTGAGGAATACATGACATCGCTATGCATGAATTCCAATTTCTGACGAGTTTTTGGAACGCTTCTTCGCGTGAGGGTCCGTCAAATCGTAGCGGACTATACCGGGCGAGGATGACCGGGCACACCCCCCGAAACTCTTCGAACCCGACCGTCTCGCATTTGTCTCGAATCTTCTTCCATACGCAGTCCAGTTGCTCCGGCTGGAGATAAAAATCCAGTTGAAGGTCGGGGACGTCCTGGAGACCTTCTACCCGCGCCGCTTGGCTATTTAACTGGATCATCCGGACGCTGCTGTGGTGGAAATGCTGGAGCGCATGGGACGGTAGCGATTGCCCGATCGCGGGGATGACCACTTCCTCCATCCATTTCCGTAGTCTCGCCTCTTCCAAGATATCTTCCTCTAGATAGGGGAACACTAGTAAGAGCCGAATCTCCCGTGGTAATGAAATCCCGTTCGGCTCGTGGTACCGTCTAGGTCCGCCAAACTCGTATAGCTGAATCAGAGGTCCGCCCCAAGGTCGGAGGTCTGGCCGCACGCGGGACCGGATCCGGTTATAGATATGAGGCGGGAGGTCGCCGATAGTAAGAGGCTCGATCCAGCAGGTCGCGTGCCAATAGAAGCTGTCAAAGCACGCGGCAGTTGTGGGAAACGCGAGTACCTGTTGAACGTACGAACGACCTAGCTGGAGCTTCCAGTCCTGAAATGGCGGTGTCGACATATTCTGAGACGTAGCTTTCACGCGTGCGTGAGAAGGCCTAGGACCGATGCTGGTGAGAGTAGGAGATGTGAGCAACCCCCGCCCTAAATTCTAAGCTGAGTACTCGTTTGAACCGGAAAAGAGACGATGCGATTATGATATACCGATAAGAAATGGATGGTTGGAAGTAGACGAGGATTAGGTCAGCTTTGAGCCACATTGTGGCTAACTTAAAGTATAGCCCACGTTTTCAAGGTCCCTAATTAAGGTAATTTCCCCGCGAACCCTAAACCTGTTCACTACTCCTACGCCGGCCCTATTCACTCTCCTCGTCACTTCATCCGTGATACAGTCGCCTACTGGTATATCAATTCCCTAAGGTTTCCCAAGACGGTAGTCGATTAACCAAACCTAGCCTCGACAGTTCACGTCCTCCTGATGCCAGGCCCGGCGACCCCCCCTCTTCCCGAGCGACTGAGTCTAACACTACCTGACTTTAAAGACGTCGCGACCGTCAAACTACTAGTGGGCGGAGACAAATCCTCCTTCCTCGTCCACAGACCCCTCCTCGAGATTTCCGCCCCCTTTTTCACCTCGGCCCTAGAATCTCAATTTAAAGAGGGGAATGAACAGCTCATAACCTTTCCAGAAGACGATCCCGCTACCGTCCTTTGCTTCGTCCAGTGGGTTTACTACAAATCCTACAATCTACCGGACTCGGGGGACGAGCGTTTCATCCTCCTGGCGAAGTTATACATCTTCGCCGATAAAGTTCTGAGTGACCCGCTAAAGAACGATGTGATACGGATGCTATTCTACCTACGCTCCCAGGGCGTCGATCCTCCTCAACTACCGGTGGTTCGCTTCGCGTTCGATAATATGCCCCCACACTTCCCGTTCCGAAAACTGCTGGTGGACTGGTACGGCTGGCATATTGATTTAGCCTGGCTAGAAGAGCCTTCAACGATGGAGAGTTTGGCGCAGCACCCCGAGTTTACCGCCGAGCTTGCCTCCCGCCTAGCTAAGAGGGTGACGTCGAATATGGAGAGCCCACTCCTGGAAACCCCAGAGCCGTATCTTGCAAAGGCCACTCAATCCGACGGCCGCGTTCCCAGGCCAGATCCCCACGACGACGGCGATCACGTCTCGATATAGGCCCACGAACGAGAAGCCGACATCTCGACGCTTTATAGGCTCCCTAGCGCTGGGACTGCACCGTAGATGTGGGAAATTGACAAGTTACACAATTGTTGATGTTTGGGGGCCGGGGACGCTACTATAGAAGATTTTATGTTTGATATTATTCGGTTGTTCTATCGTGCACTTTATGAGATGCTTAGACCGCGATCCAATTCCGTCCCTAATTCATCGATTTGTCTGTCTTCTGGGGGTTCCAGCGCGGATGAGGGGGACACAACGAAATTGTCGCTTTGACTCGATGCCCTCGGTGACGACGTCTCCAGTAGCTTCGAAACGCTATGGACCCTGCTTATGTCGCTGAGTGGATTCTTCTTCATATACTCCAAGAGAATCGATGCTGCCAACTTGCGATAGACTGCCAATGACACGACTCCATTCAGGACCTAGGTTATGCGAAGAGATCAGCTGAAAAGAGAATCAACACTTGACAACTTTGTCACTCTGAGGCAACTTGCCTATACAATGCGGAGGTCCTTTTTCCAGAGAGGATGGAGACGCTTATTCCTGCCGAATCGGCGGGCAAAAGATATCGCCTAGGTCAGGTCTGCCAGCGGTGCCGAAGGAAACACACCGAATGGTTTGCAGTCACTCCCGAAGAAGCACAGCGAGTCATCCGGAACTAGTGTGAAATAGCTGCCTCCCCGCTTTATACGGAAGACAGGACTTTATCTCGTGAAGGGAGTCATGCTGTTGGCGGTCTGTCGCAAGTGACGGCATCGAATCTCTCTCAGCATCTGAAGGAAATCCTATCCAGCGATATGAGCAAAGCTCACAAAGTTTCGGGAGAGCCTACGATACCATCGCCGAGTCAAGGGGAAGACCTCATTGCGTTTCCCTCATCCGCCCCGCCTCCGCAGGAAGACAGACAAATCAATGGATTAGTAACGAAGTTGGATCGCGATCTGACTATCACGAACAATCGGACGATGATCGGATGTTTGAAAGTTCTTGATCTTGACTATAAATAGTGAGACGTTGGTCGAACAGGCCGCCGGTTCCGCCCCTCACTGTATCAACCTGGTCAGTCTAGATGTCACGTTTAGTAGAGTCATGAGAAAGTGCCAACGGCTGGAGCCGCTAGCTTGGACACATTACCTTGCATTTTCGTTGTGTAAATCACTTCAGTTTGCAATCGATGGGCCCATGGCGCCCACTACGCGATAGCCCCTGTCGTGACTTTGTTTGGACCTGCGTCTTCTTTGCCCAAGTCTCACGTCGCTTCAATCCTGCTCTGCACCCTCCTCCGAGTCACCATTCACTTTTGGGTATACTTTCGCCGGTCTTCTTCTGCCTCCAGCTGCATAATTCTTTCCTCAGTCGACCTAAGGTTCCCCTCCGCGGCCGCGGTGGCGTCAGAAATCAGAGCTCTGAATTCTGCTTTAGCTTCGCGGATGAAGTATATGTTGCCCGTAGAACTAACATAGAGTCAGCTTGTGTCTAGCGAAAGGGCAAATCTTACCTCGCAGCAGTTATCGCGCCAATTGCAAGACTTGTCGTATATAGTTGCAGCCGCTCGCAGAAGACCAATCCGTCGATTCTGACTGTGCTATCCGCTCTAATTCGTTCTTTACATCAACGCAGAATTTGCTTGTATATTCTAGGACACCTCTAACATTGTCGAACCCGCTGTTTTGAAGATTTGGTAGTTGGGGAAAATGCACTAGGACCGTCTGGAGTGCACTCAGTTGCGTGGAGAGGTTCGAGAAATCATGGAAAGGTTGAAGGGCTGCGAGGACATCAGCAAGGGATTGTCGCGATTGGAGTGACGATGAGACTAATTCCTTGAAATTAGGAGCCTCTAGCATCGTGGACAGTTGTGTATCATGGCGATGGTCTTTATGCTGGCGATTCTCGGTCAGGCGAAAGGCTGTATTATGGCTGGGCGGCTGACCTTGTTAACACGTGACAGACTTCTCTGCTCATATCCCCCGTCTTCCGGTGCGGTGATCGGAAAACCTTCCCATCTGAAGTGACCCTGCATCACAGAAGCCTGCATCATTCACGCAAGAAACTCCGATCTGCGTCGCATATCAGCATCCTGACATCCAAGAAACAAAAGTGCTTTTTATTGCCAGCGGACGTTTTACGAGACGGTACCAGCTGTTTAGTATCCTGCTGGTGTTCATCATGAGACGGGGAAACCAAGAAGTGAAGGTTGGAGTTCCTGCTGCGAAGGAGGAAAATCTACGTGTCTGGCTGTCGTACGTAGGACTTCCCAATTTGATTCACTAACGGTTTCAATAGATGGAGCCAGAGCGAGCGCGTGCCCGTGGCGGACTCATGTCAAGAAAAGATCTTTTGGTTTCCCCTAGATTTCCTGACCAAGCGATCCCCTATCTTCCAAGCCCAGCTGTGCGGAATGGGCGAGCGCACAGAACAAAATACCCTCATCCTCGAGAACGTCTCCTCCGGAACGATACGCGAATTTTACCGCTGGTCGCTGATGGAAGATCCACATATTCGGCACGATTCTAGCTTTGAGCAGGTGGATGCACTGGCAGAGCTTGCAGAAAAATACCATATTCATGCCCTAGGGTGGCAGGCGTCGGATCGCATCCGCCAGCAGGTACATTCTGGTCTTTGGCATTTAACCGCCGAGACAGTGTCACTCAAATACAAGCATCTGGCTCCTGGCAGTTGGCTGTTACAGCTTTATCGTGTTGCACTGGGCACAGTCGCCGAGTCTATCCCAGAGAACGTTGGCTATGACGTGGCCGAATGGCGACGTGCGGTGTCTGAGACGCCTGCACTCGGATTGGACTACATTGAGGCTCAAATACGACAGTATGATAGGAAATCACTTCGCCAAGGGGGCCCATGTCGATTTCACGACCATGGAAAACGAGCGCTACCCCCCAAAAGTAGGAACTCCGAGTTGTTATGTCCCTTTAAGGATGGAGGCTGCTTTACGGTCGAGGGCGAGCGCAAGGAGATCAGAAAGAAGGGCGGGGCAAGGAGGACGGAGCAGTTGCATGGAGAGGGTAAAGTGGAGGACGGTTTCAACGACTGGAGCCTTGATGAATAGTTCAACGATGTTCAGACAGATTCTTTGTGGATGAGGGATCTCTTTAAGATAACGCAATGCGTAGGTCTTGCAAGAGAATCCATGCAATCAGTGTTGAACTTGACATATGTCAATCACTCCCACAAAGGACATCGCGTGATCGATGTATAGTTCGGAAAAGTCTCCATCGTCCGCTTGTCCTAGCAAGCACCAGAACATTCATGGATGGCCTGGGCAAGGAAGCCGAACCACTTTCGGATGTCCAGACCCAACTCACCCAAGAACTGGGGCTCAAACGTCGCTGCGAGAAAGTCTTTTTGCCTCCCAAATACAATCCCACAGCTGAAGCATTCAAGGAGTTATCTGATGGTATTCAAGATGTCATCTCTGCATGCGATCAGTTCTTGGATAACAAGCGACGGCAATCTTGGTGGGAAAGGCTACTAAAGCGCTGGTGAGCACGGGTCTTTGGGTTGACACTTGGATGGCTACGAGTAGATTTCAACATACGATGGGGCTTTTCTCGTTCCGCTCAGAAACTTGAGGCCTCGGAGGGCGGGCAAATGGTAGAATCACCACAAGGAGATCGTCCACATCGTGCTTCTTTTCCCGCGTGTTCTTCGTGGCTTGTCTTCGTTCTTCGACTGGAATGACCCATACTACAGAAGTTCTAGACATCATCCCTACGCTAATAGAGGTGGCTCGGAAGTTTCATGACCATCAAGGTTGACTCATCTCACAAAGGCCGATCAACCTTCTTGTTTGCAGAGCTGCTTGTAGTGTTATGGCTGCAGCAGAAACGAAGTGGTCAAATGACTCAGAAAAGGAGACCAAGCCTTGCGCCTAATTCCATCCAATCGACAAATATGACGCCTGAAAGTCAAGTGTCGATGGCGGAGCCATGACGGGCATAGTAGCACAGCGCCCTTTTTCAAATTCGAGGACGACCGGCATTTTATTGACCTTCATCACGTTTTCCCAGATATGCAAGAAGTGTATCCGTATTTCCGACGAATTGGAAGGTGTTCTTCCCGGCGGACAGATGAGCGTACATGGGATGTCGCGACGCGACAATCTGCTTGGAACCGTTCGATCCTGAAACGAAGATGTTCGAGTGAGGAGGAAAATAACCCGCAATCGTGGTTCGATCAGAGCCAGACGACTCTTGGGTGCCGGAGGATGTCGCACGACTGCGACGGTGAGCATGTTGGAGCGCGAAAGTTCCGTCGTCTTTCGTGTTCGCATCAGTCCTGGTCTTGAGTGGTAGAGTTGCCCGTTCCTCGTCTTCATTAATCATCCTCGTTGACTGCGATGCTGGGATGTTACGGAGTCTGTCACTGGAAGCATGATCACTGGGCCACGCATCGCGATCTGTGTCGCGGTTTGGAGTTGGGCGGGTCGGGAGCCGGTGGTCCTGTCTTTGCGACGCGGATTAATTGGGGATCGTTTTCAACTTACAGATGAGAGGAAATACCTGCTAATTTGACGGACTGAATTGAAACCTGATCCGCTCTTGGTGGCAGGTTTGTCCGTGTCTGCGAGCGGTAGCAGTTCCCATTGTTTCCCTTGAAACTGCACACAGCCGCCTTCCGTTTCAACATTGGTCGTGCCCGATCGCCCAATCGTATTTTCAACGGTCACTCTCTTATTTGGCTCTGCTCTATCTTTAGTCTCCGTGTGGCTTGTTTTGGTAGGGCAGGTCGTGCCGCGATCTGACTGCCCGATTCCATTCGATTCTGGCTGTACGATATTTGGGACATTCGAGGCCAGAGAGAGATCGTCGTCCGGTCTGTAGTGCAATCGGTTAGCGCCACACGTGCAGCGAAATTTCAGAGAAAACCGCGAACTTGATTAAATCAGCCGTGTCTTCAGCGTGCTCCATGAAGCTTGCAAGTTCAACCTTTCCGTGAAATTTCTTAGGGCCAGTTTCCGTCTGAACATCGATCAGCAAATCGCCCGATTGTGTGATTATGTTTTGAAAAGTCATCCTCTTGTTTTGTGCCTGTGATTCGTTACCCATTTCCCCGTCGTTCGATTCGAGAACACAGGTCGCTTCGCAGTTTGGCTTCGCCATGTCATTCAAGTCTCTCTTGACGATATCCAATGTATTCGAGGCTATAGAACCTTCGTGATCTTTTCTGTAGGGCATTCGATTAGTAGAATGCGCCTCCAGGAGTTCTGGCGGAAACGGGCGTACCTGCCAAGTGTGCTTTCATCCTCGCCGGTATACTCTTCAGCTCGGCCGGCTGCTCGACTTGTAATGTCATCGCCTTGCCCACTTTTGTCAGCTTCACTAATTCCCTGAATTGAGCTTTCGTTGATCATCTCCCAACCGTCTTCGGCATCGTTACACGGGGACATCGTTGGTTTTTTGGTTGGGGTAGGGAGGGGGGTCGCGATAGCACAAAATTCATCCACGACCTCTTCGGTAAGAGGAGATTGTGGGAAGGTATAGTCGAGTTTCATGCACAATAAGCACGAATTTGTTGGCAATGGACAGAGTCGAAGGTGCTGTCATATGGGGGTGTTTATTCTCGCCGAGATCGTAAGCTCCCGTCTGCCCGACCTTAGCGCTCGTCGAGATAGTCCTGCGAAAGTTGTACGTTCGTGAACAGTTGAGACTTCAAAATGCTCTAGGGGGATGCGAATGCGCGACAAGTTTGAAGTCTCGAAATTATTTGGTTGGGGCTAAGGAGAGCGGGTGATCATGGCACGGTCCGTCAGAGCCCTGTGGTGGACCTAGCTGTGCCAGTTGTCGCCCTACTTGTAGATCCCACTACTGGGGCGAACGAGCAGAGCCACCCAACCAGCACATTCCAACAACGTGCGAGAGCGCCCTCGATGAAGCCGTGAAGCGCTTTTGCTTGTATGTCAAAAAGATACGTGCGCGCGTAAATGTTTCACCTCCTCCAGTCACGAATAGTGCTGCTGGAAATTTAGACAAATCCCCATAAATCCCCTTGGTCAAATTAGATATAAGCGCCTCTCTGGGAGGCGGTGAGAAGGCACATTTCGTCCGGGCGCCAAAATCGAGGCAGACGGAGGGTTTTTCCCAGCCAAGGCACATTAGGCAGACACATCCATAGCGTTTCAGCAGAATCTTAACCGCTTACATATTACACCCTGCCTGACGGTCCCCACTCATTTTCAACTGCTTCGATCCGTCAAACAGAGCAGCTAAAATGGGCGACGAAAAGCGTAGGTGTCGTTCCGACTTTGTATCCAGACCAACATGGCAACTCACTTGACAATAGGATCCGTGATTTCACAGAAGGGGCCGCAGTCGGAATTGCCTCCACCGCCGTATATCGAAGCCACGTGCAGCACGAGAGAGACTATAACTGATGTCCCAGACGGCAAATGGGATCTCGCATGCACAATTCCCTCACACGATATGTGCCTATGCTTGACCGAGGAAGGCAGGCCAACGTGGCTGAACATGTCAGATCACACTGAACCCTCCGGCAAGAGCTTCCGGCGGCACGGATTCGATGTTGACCTCACTCGACCTTCAATCACGTTGAAAAAGCAATCGTATACCTGGTCATGTGAACGAGATTCCGCCGCAGGAGGTCTTTTACTGTCCCAAGGCAAAGATTTGTCACTGGCAAACTTCGGGAATCAATTGGTCATCTTCGAGCGGACGGTTGAGATCGAAGACCGAAGTCGACCACCACCAAAGTCTCCCGAGGACAAGAAAGGCTCTCTTAAAGTCGAAACAGCATCTCCCAACATCTTCTGTCTCACGGGAACAGATGTCTATCAGGTTGAAGGCGACGAAAAAGACCTGGTCATTCGGTCACAATGTTTCCTGAGGCTGTGGGACATAGTCAAGGGAAGATTCCGCTGGGAGATGTTCAAGCCAGTGGGACAACTCTTCTGCCTCACCAATCAGTATGTCGTCTTCCAAGTTAGTCGCTACAAGCTACATCAGCGAAAAAACGGTTATATACATGGGGAGTTCGCTTTTCCCGCTTACTCAGTCTTCATTAGCTTAAAAAATGAGGACAAATTTGGTCCCATGGTAACTAAGGATGGGCTCGTGTTGTACAAGCCGTGCAAGAAGGCCCTTTTTATGTGTCATATCGGTGATCGAGAAGTCAGAATCCAAGCATGGGAATCAGAGGACGAAATACGAGGTTCTCTGGTCCTGCGTGGCGACCTGAACAATCTCCAGGTGGAGATTATTGGGCAGAACGCTAGTTGGACCAAGCATGAAATGGAGGAGCCGGTCTTCAAAAATTGGGATCCGATCAAGAAGTACGTGCTGAAGACGTGACTTTATCACCCTCCTGTACCCGGATACGCGGCCATGCATCAGCTGCTATAGGAAGGCACTTGCCCTTTTGCGATCGACACAGGCGAGAGGAAGGGATTTGACAATTTGGCAAGGCTGGTGTCTCACACCGCAGAAGATACATCAAAAAAAAAGGATTCCATCGATGCTCGACAGTGGAGTGGGCAGCCGAACATCCTGGCGAGTGGATCCTATCTCCTCTTCCTGCGGCAATTAGTTAGACCGTGGCATCGATGAGGATAATGCATCGGAGCATAGAGGTCTGATACTTTACCAACCGGCGGTGTTCGGTCTACATGTTTTGAAGGAATTTGGTATATCCGCTGTGACATTGCCGTACTTTCTATAGCAATATCAATCATTGATACGATGTCACGGTGGTGAGAGCGCTGAAGAAATCCAGTGGTGACAATATCTATTCTGAAGAGTTTCCTTTGAAGGATTCGTCCTCTGTATCCCGACGCTTTGAGACATGTTCCTCAGCCTCAGCATAGGCAATTTCGTCGCGGTCGCTAAGCTGCCTACCGGGAGTCTGTGTTCGCCGGCGTTTCTTTAGCCGCGGATTCTGCTCCTGGCTTGTTGTTTTGGCTATTTCCACAATAGCTTCCGGACACGAAAATGTCTCTGTCTAAGTCTTTGATATCTTTGCTAGTCTTTTCTTCTGGGAAATCCTCCAGATGCAGTCGCAGACCGAGGGTTTTGACCGTATTTAGTTTGCCATCGTCATTTCGGAACACCTGCGATACGTCAATCTTCGCCAGACAGTAGACCAGCCAGACTTATTTAGTTTGTGACCGTCGACCCGACAATTTATCAGCTCCTGAGCTCTGCTCCTTTGCCCGCCAGACGGAAAAGACGGCCTTTTGCTCTTGTTGTGCTCAATGTCCACTCCCACCATAACCCGAATCACAAGGTCGTTTCCTAAAATGTATTCCTCCCCAAGATAGCTTAAAACCCTCCCGTTTTGTGAACGCGCTACCTCGAGGATCACGGTGGGTAGCGGCGAGCTGAGATGCTGGAAAGAACTGTCTGGATTGTGGCTCCTATAGTCTGGGTCTCGACTCCCGAGCTCTGATTGTGGCAGACCCAACGTCTGGGGCGTTTTTTCGCAAAATCTGCAGCTGGACCAGACTCGCTGGAGAGGAGACGCAGCTGTTCACTGATACGCCCGCTGAGACTACGCGAGAATAGATCATGGATTTTCGTGGGCATGCGCAAAATGACGCGTGTCGCTCGAAGGAAAGTAATCAGAGCTGTGCATCGAGGTCAGCAAAACATATCTTTTTGCCCCTTGCGATGAAACAACTCTAACATACCGTATCTTGTCGTCTCGTTGCAGCAAGTGTTTCACGGCATTCCACTCTCTCCTATCGACCTTGTTGTTGCGCCTGTAACAGTTGCCGTTTTACACGCGCTTCAGGCGTTACCTGATTGCGCCTAGTGCCAGGAGGTCTTGCGACATGGCAGGACTCAGGAGAGGTCTTCCT